CCAGATTCAGATTCAGATTCATAGAGTGCCTCCGTCTATTTATACATGATATATGCTATGTGGGTTATAACTATGTCAGTCTCTCGGATCCCAGACGACCGTTCTTTCGCTTCTTTTGGTTCATTCTTTGGTTCTGTGACGTAAGAAGAAAGCAAAACTTTGGCTGGCTTTTGGGCTGCTGTCGTCAAACTGGCTGAACTGAATGAGCCACCATCACGCACACTACACTCTCACCCAGACAATTGGCCTGCTCAATGGCCGCGTCCTTAAACCCTAAACCCCCGCTACCACCCTCTCATCCTTTCTGCTCCCCCCCTCCCCCCTCTTGTTCAACACCCCTCGTCCTGAACTTACGCTAATGTAAATATTTCCCCCTCAGTTCCGCAGCTTCGTTGTTGTCGTGTGCCACAATTATATATGCAAGATGAGAGGGGGAGCTCGGTGGTTTCGTCTATATGCTGTAAAATTCCCCCACCAACTGACTGACTGACAAACTGACTGAATGACTAAATGACGGGATGCTGGCGATGATGTCATTGTTTATTGATTCATCTAGTGACTGGGCAACGGAACGCTGTCCACTTCCAGCACGTTTCTGTTTATTTTTGGCCAGTGCATTAAGTCAAAAGGCTAATTTGCCGGGCCGAAACGGTCTGGTCTGGTCTGGTCTGGGCCAACGAAACAGTGTCCACCTCATTAACAAATTCAGTGTGTGGGCGTGACCGTTATGGGCGTCATGGCTTCCAGTTCATTTGGCCGCCAGCGAAATGCAAAATGGGGGGCTTGCCTTCTAATTAGCCGAGGGTCAGGTTGTAGATTTTAAGGCCCAACTGCAGGATCATTCGGCCAAAAACAATGCGATGTGGCATTATGGGGATTGGGAGGGAGTGAGAGTGAGAGTGGCAGTGAAAATATTTTAGGCGCCTCCAGAAAATGTCAAAAGTGTGCCCTGCTGCCATTGGCATTGATGTCGGAAAAATTGCTTTGTAGGTCAAAGGCCAAGTTGCGTACGCACCAAGAGGGTCACCGAAAATAAAAACCTAAAATCTACATGTTTAAGCCAGAACTTTGGCGGACTGAGTCTATGGATTTGACGTACGCATGAGATACCATAAAAGGTTCCATTTTATACCATACAATCACAGGGGTTCAATGGCCAAGTGTTTGGCTATAGATAGAAGGGAACTTACTCTAATTAAATGGATAAATAGGTATTTATATAACTGAGTTTGTTTTTAGAATTTGTTCTTTAATCTAAATAGATTCAAACCCCTTTTAAAAGGAATAAAGTTCGATTGAAGCATATCTCTCATATTATTATAATCAATCAAAAATCTATGGTGTTTTTAAGAAACCAAATAAAGTGAGTTAAAGATCTCTAAGGAAACCAATCTGTCTGCGAAAAACCCTCGTAGCACAATTTGTCTGATCTGTCTATACTGCTGAAGTATCCTGGAAATCGGTCATTTGCATATCTATGCCCGATTCTTGAGCTCCACATTATTGAGCCGCCGCACAAGTGTCAAAGTGGATGGGGAACCGAGTCCCACAAGTTGCGACAGACAACCTGTCGCTGTGGTGAAATTTTCCATCCGCTCGGCTGCAGCCGCCCACGAACTTGACGCGGAAAATGGGATATATATTGAATAGGGAAAGGGAAAGGCGAGGGAGGAGGGGGAAAGGAAAAGGGACTGACAGACAGACAGGCTGATAGACGCATCTCCGATATCCATTTCCAACTAATTTGCGTAATATTTAACGGGAGCGGGGAGTGGAGTGAAGGAAGGAGAGGAAAGGGGAGGGGGAAGGAGGAAGGGGAAGGTCCGCCGTTCACACAAATCGATGATCTTCTCGCCGCCAAGTGGCCACTTGAGGACCGACTGGTCCTCAAATTACAAATTAAATCAACCGCCGCGGTATGAAAATGTTAGTAGTTCGAGTGCGAAGGAAAAACTAAAGGCGTGCGTACACACACACACACATACAACTCTACACACACTACACATACACACACTCGCTAACGCACTCGCACACGAAGGATATGGGCGTGGGAGCAAGGACTTGTCAAACGGAGGCGTCCTGTCCTGTCCTGTCGTGTCCTGTTTTTTCCTGTCCAGTTCGGTCGCTTTGGACCCCCGGGGTGTTGTTACTAAATTAGCTGGAAACCGGACCAGCAGGATCGTAAATTGTGAACGCGTTTTAATGATGTCAAGTTGTAAACGCAGCCGCAGGTTTCCCGGGAAAATGTGTGACGGGTTTTTCAACTTATTTTCGGCACAGGAGCAAACTCTTTTGGTAGTCAGAAGGGAACCGAAAACCGAAACGGGAGTTTGTGGTAAGCGCAGGATACCATATGAAAACCATAATTCACAAAGTTATTTCGTTTGAAAAACCAGAAAATATAAATACAGAAATAACATAAGATTTTATGCTTTCAAAATGGTAAATGTATTTTGAATTAGCACTAACTTAAGTTCGAAAATTATTTTATATAAATTTTGTGCATTTATTATAATTAAAGTATGGTGTTAAGGCATAATTTGTTTTCGATGGTGTTACTTTAATTTCCTTTTTATGAGTGTAAGTGATTAGAGTCCCTAGATAACAGACACATTATTCCTGGCTACCGTTTTCCTGTTGTTTTTGGCCACATGTGCGCGGCTCTCACGGCGCTGTCTTTATCCATATAATCGTTTTTCAGTGTAAACACTTAGGGGGACAATTGTAATTTTCCCAACTACCAGCGAAAGTGTGAAGTGAGAAGCGACGGGTGGCGGAGCGTTGACGTTTTCACGACTGACACTTGATGACGTTATGCGGAAATAAACAAACACACACACATACGCACGCAGAAATGTGGGAAAAGCGGAGCTGCTGGCAAGGAAAAACTGGCAGCAAGAAAATGCGAGAGGCAGAGGGAGAGGAAAAGCAGCGACAGCCATAACAATGAGGAAAATTGTGCAAACATGCGCATAAAATGAAAACTCATTGATTGTCTCATATTGAATTTTCGCTACATCTCTCAATCTGCAAAAACCTTGCCAAATCAGTTGTGCAAAGGTTGGAAAACCAAAGGAAAGAAAAGGAGAAAACGGAGAAAAGCGGGAAAGCCAGAAAGGTACAGACAATCAACTAATCCAATTTAATTTAATTGGCTAATCCAGGAAATCTCACCACTTTTGTTTCACGTATGCTTTATTCCCCAGCGAATATGAATGCCAATTACAAGTTAACGAAGTTAAAACAATAAGTTTGAAAGGAATGAGATCCAGGAACTATTTAAAAAGAGATAGATAAACGTATTTAAACAACATAAACAAAAAGTAATATTGAAGTTGATTTGTGCAAACACCAAAAATAAACCATCTGCAATTGATACTTTATTTCTGTTCACTTAACTCATTTCGATTTCGTTTTAATTGCAAATTTGTGGAGCTGACGTACTTTTGTTGTTTCAGCCAAATTAAACAGAATTTCAAATGGCCAGCAGAAATCTGAATTGTGAATAATTTCAACAAAAGATTGGGAAGTGGCCAAGCGGCACTCCGGCTCTTTTCCTCTTTTCCGCGTTGGCCATCAGCAATGAAATCGCATTTAGCTCACGGCCATAACAATGTCGCCATTAAACTTGAAAGTGTTAATTAAAAATTAAAATTGATTGTCCGCCAGGACCAGAGCAGAATAGAATAGAGCAGTCCAGGACAATCCTCGTCCTTCGATCCTGCTCTCCAACTTTCTCTAAGCGCATTCCGTATTCATGGCGACCATCAAAACTTGTTGTAAAGTAATTTAGCCAGCCAAGTGATTAACAACGGCACAAAATGGAGAAAAGCCAAGGACGAACTCGTCCTCGCAGCCTCTTTCCCCGTTTTACTCGTTTGAAGCTGCTTCCTTCGACTAATTTGCTAAATGCAATGGCCAAAAATAACGGCCTGAAAAGTTGGCCAAACTACCGAAAATAGCTGCAGAAACTTTTCCGTGTTGGCCATTGTTGACAAATGATTTAGTGACAATCTATTAAACGCCGGCTGATTGATGATTGATGAGTCCGACTGGCCGCCCACCCGGCAAGGCTCACCGGCTAAAAGGATTAAATTGCCAGCCGAACTGCACCACCCCGGGTCATGAAATATGCACGACTTGGCCAAGAATAACAAAAGTTGCCGTAATGAAACGGGCATACACTCGTATCCACCAAGCCAAACTCGTTTATATCCGCCGCAAAGAAATAAGGACGGAAATAGAGCGATTATGGCATGTCCTTCGGGACCTGGCCGACTTGCTTCATATTTTTTTTTTCTCTGTTTTTTTTCGGGCTTCGACCCGAAACAAAAGGCCCAAATGGAAAGGAGGTGTATATATGTATATCGGTGGGTCAAACGCGGTCTTAACTCGACTCGATTTGACTCCACTCGAATGGAATTAACACGCCATGAAAGTCGGAGATATTGGAAAGATATTGACCGACTATTGAAGGTAAGTACCGTGCTTTCCTGACCCACCAAACCACCAAACCAACCAACCAACACGCATTCGTAAATTAAGCATGACTGGGCAATTACGATACACTGGACTTTGGAAAATGATTTCCCTCTAATAAGATTCTATATCGTAGACCATTACGAACTTTTAATGAGTTTTAATAACTAAAGCGAAGGATCTGCTTTTAGAACTCGGAAGACCTTGGCTAAGAAAAAGCTATTTTAAGTGGGGAATTATATTTTTACCCTCGAACTAAGAACTTGTTCTATTTCTGAGTTCCCAAGTTGCAGGCCATTAAATTATTGGCAAACTTTGTGTGATATTTTTAAACGTTAATAATTCGAAAAGGGAGCTTTGGGCCTTCGTGCAGCCACTTGATTGGATCGAATTAAAGCCAGACAGACGGTCAAAGGTCGCAGGTGGAAGTCTGATTGGTTCCATCGATTGTCCACATGGCAACCCAATGAATATACTATACTATATATGTATATTAAATTGGATTTATCCGATAAACTCACCGATTTGTGGCACGTCGTACTGCCGTTGACCGCGGGCGGTGCGCAGCATCAGCTGGCTGGCGATGCTGTGGGAAACAGGTGGCTGCGCGGGGTAACCTCCACTTGGGGATCCACCCGCCGCTCCCGATCGCTTGTGGCTGGGATCCTTCTTGTCCTGCGCCTGCTGCTCCTCCGCCTCCTGCTGCTGCTTTGCCAATCCCTCGGCTGTTTGTTTGCCCGACGAGGTTCCCGTTCCGGATGCACTGCCTCCCAGTTCATTGTTGGATTTCTCCGCATCCTTTGCTCCCGATCGACTGACTGGCTTCAGATGCTTCGTGGCCGTGGCTTCTGAGTTTGCGGAGAGCGACAGTTTGCCATTCCTTTGGGGCTTGAAGTGCTGGGCGAAGATCTGCCGCTGCAACTGCTTCTCCGCCTCGGAATTGTGGGCCACTCCCTGGCCATTCCGCTTCCTGGCCCACTTCTGCTGCACCCTGATGTTATAACCTCCTGGGTTGTGGTTCTTATTCGAGTGCACCACTCCCTTCGCGGGGGCATCCCTTTGCTCCTGCTCGAAAAGCTGCTGCAGGGAGTCGGGAGCATTGAGCTCCAGCTGCTCCAGGGTGCGATACGGGTTCTCCGGCAGGGGATCCTCCTCCAGCCCGTGGTACTGGTACGCATCCAGTTCGCGGAGCAGCTCGTCCTCGCCCATGTGCGGCTCCTGCTCCTGTTCGAGTTCCGAGAAGTCGTCGAAGTCGCCGAACGAGTGCAGCGGCTCGTAGAGCGCCTCCTCCCGCTCCTCGCGCTCCGCCGGCTGCACCACCCGACCGTAGTACTTCACCGGCCGGTTCTCCAGCTCCCGCAGCTGCTCGTAGTCCTGCTCCAGGGTGAGCGGAGTGGGCGGCTGCTTCTGCACACTGCCGAAGATGTAACCCCGGGCAGCCTGCTGCAGGAGAGCTGGGTAATCTCCCACATCCAGCTCCTCGCTGGGCTGCATCTGAATCCGGCCGGCGATGAAGGGATGGCCGCGTTGGTTGCCTCCCGCCGGCGGTGGCTGCTCCGCCGTCTGCTTGGCCCTGGCCAGGAGCATCAGACGCTCCCGCTCCAGCTGGGCCATGTCCGCGATCTCCTTGTTCAGCCGCACGGTAGTGGCATCGAAGGCAGCCGCTGCAGCGGATCGATGGCCATTATGTGGCGACGAAGATCCACCGCCTGGCGGAGATCCTCCGGGATGCTGCAACTGCTGCTGATGCTGCTGCTGGTGCTGCTGATGCTGTTGCAGTTGCAGCTGCAGTTGCGAGCTGGACGGACCCATCGGCTGACCGGGAATCTTCGTCCCTTCGCCCAGGGACTTGTCGTTGTTGTTGTTGTTGTTGCTGTTGCCATTGCCGCTCAGGTGGAGGGCATAGAGTCCTCCCTGGATGAGCAGGACGCAGAAGAGCGTCTGGGCCAGCGAGCAGAACATTTTCCGTTTGTTGGTCTGTCGCAGCTTCTCGATTAGACGGCTTATCTTGGCGGCTTTTTCTCCTGCGGGGGGTTGGGCTAACCAGCGGGTAGAATCAGTTGATGTGGGTAGTGGTAGTGGTGCTAGTGGTGCTATAGGTGGTGGTGGTGTTTGAGGGGTGATAGAGTGTCAGGTGGTTTTTGGTCGGAAGGGCGGTCGAGGGAGAAAGTCCCGGCTCTGGGGGATTGTCCCTACAACCGATTGCTTCCTTCTGGGCGCTCGATGCTCTTGTGGGTCTTCAGGCCCCACGCCGCTGACCAACACTTTGCCGGCCTGAGCCTGGCATTGCACAACACTGGCCCACACCGGAGTTCCACCGAGTTGTTTCCCTGGCTTTTCGCGCTGGCTTCGTTTTGTTTTTCTTTTCTTTTTCTGGCCGCCTTTCAACGTGCTTTTCCCACCGCTGCTTCTTTGCCGCTTTTCTCGCTTTTCACGCTTTTCTCCGGCTTTCGTCGCCCTTTGTGTTGTTGTTGTTGTTGTTGCTGCCCCGCTGCCAAGTTTGTGTTTGCGTTAAGCTGTGAAGTTCTTCCAGCCTTAGACAAAATCAATAATCAATTGTCTACTCTGGCCGGGGAGTTTGGGCCTCACTGGGCAGCAGGATTGGAGATTGGAGTTGGTGTAGGTTTGGGTTTGGTTATGGGTTTGTATTGGAGTACACACGGCCGTTTGAACCTGGTTGGCCTCTGGCTTTATTTAGGGGTAGCTGCTAACAACTAGTTGCTGTCTTCCGTCGGCTTTCGGCTAGAACTTCCAGATCTTTGGGGGGGTTTTGATTTCGTTTGTATCCTTTGGGCCGTTTGCTTTGGCCAGTCACTCGTTTCGGATTTTCACAGGCTTAACAGTTAGTTTTTCCGCGGCACTTTGGTTTTCTTTCCGTTTTTTTTTTTTCGTTTTGAGCTGCTCACTTTTTATACTTTTTATATTCTCTTATTTTTTTTTGTTGAAAATGCAAAGAAAACTTTTTATGTTGTATAATTTGTATATTTTTATAAGTAGTTGTAACAATAATTTGTTTTGGTTTTTCTTTTTTTCGTTTTGTTATTTATATTTGTTTAAGGAACTTTTAGCACTTTTCCGTGTTTAGCGCTCTCAGCTTGCGGCACTTAGTTTTCGTTTTGGTTTTTCATATAAACTACGTTTTTGTTGTATATTAATTAAAATTCACAGTGTTAGCCATCAATTGAGGGGGAACAATTAACTGGAACTGATTTGCTTGCTTTTTGGGGTTTTTTTTTTCTGGTTGAATAACTTTTGCACACGAGTCACTGCACTTTCGGAATGGGAATAATTTTCAAAATATTGTTTCGGGTTTATTTTTCGGTTAGTAATTTATTTAATATTTTGTTGGATTTTTTTTTGAAAACTTTCCCTTGTTGCGGGTGAGTGTGAGTGGTGTTTTGTGGACTAGCTTTGCTTCTAGTGTGTGTGTTACTTGTTTCTTTTTGTTTTATCGGCTGCCTCCAAGAGTGTTCCGCACGTTTGAACCGACGAGCAAGGACTCGTCGTGTCGTCTCAGCAGGATTTGCCTGTTTGTCTGCCTTTTGCTTGGCCGCCTGACGCGTGTCCCTCTGCCGGCGTCGCTGCCTGCTGCCGCTGCCGCTGCTGCTGGCGTCGCTGCCTCTCCTCAAGGCGTTTCGGATTTCCACTTTATGGCACTCGGTACGTACGTACACCCACTCCCTTCGCGCCCCGCCTCGAATTTCACTCCTCCAACAAACGAAACCAAACCAACTGGCTGCTGTGTCCTCTCCTGTAACTCAGCTCTCTGCTCTCCGCTCTTTCTCCTGCCTCCTTTCTCCGCTTTCTCCTGATCCTTCTGCTGCTGCTGCTGCTGCTACTGCTCCTTCTGCCACTTCTTCTTCTTCTTCAACTGCTGCCTCGACTCTGGGCTTCAGCTTCAGCTCCAGCTTGTTGTGCTCTCGGCCAGCGGGAAGAACTCGAGCTCGAAACGACTGTTCGCTCAATACTGAGCGCTCCGCCCGCTCAACCACTTGTTTTCAACCGTTCAACCAGCCCCATCATGTGTAGAGTTTTTCCCGAAGTCTCTGAACAGAAACAGAGAAGCAGAGAAAGAGAGAGCGAGAGAGAGAGAGAGTGTGTGTGCCTGGTCCTGCGCACTTTTCCACTGTTACCGGCATCACCGACTCCCCATTTCCCATTTCCCAGCTCCCATATGATTTGCGGTCGCTGTTTTGCGTGGGTTGCACGCTTCTGTGGCATCGGTATCCTTCGTTCCGGCGGGGCATTTCCCCACTTCGCCATTCGAGTTTGGTAATCCCGTTTAGCTGTCATCAGCTGTGGGTCTCCTAATCCCAAAACCCGCTGATTCAATCACTGACTGCACTTTTCACCGGTTAAACCAGGAATTCGTGGGTTTCCCTGCATTGATTTGCTGGGAAAATTCAGTGAAACCGCAAGTTGGGTTAGGCCCGAGATAAGGATAATGATTTGATTGAAGGACAGCTTTATCAAGGAATTGGATTTTAATTATTTACTGAAAGGCAACATATTTAGCCAACCCAAACTGGAAAAATTGCAGGCAAAATCAAGAAATGATTCTATAAGCCAAAAAGGAAAAATAACATAACTGGAAGATAGTTTGATATTCAGTTTTTCTTAGACTCTTAAGCTTTTGGTTTATATAATTTTAATGAAGAGAGCCCCTCCACACGCTTAAATACTTTTAGTTACCAACATTTACAATTAAAAAAAAAAAACCAATTTAGATAATTGAATTATTTATTAGCACATAACCTCTAAATAAGCAACAATTAATTCGACTTACATCCTCCTAAGATCTCTTACTTCCACCTAATTCAAGCCTCCATTATAACCCCTTACAGATCGCTTTTCCCAAAAAACTTTCGAACCGCAGTTCCCCTACTTTTCGGAATTCGAAAAACGATGACGCCTACACATTGGCGACAAAGACCAAGTCAGATACCAAAATACAACTCTCGCAGCAGCAACGAAATTAGAATGTGAGTAAAAGTGAGCACATAGATTGCAAGTCATTAAGGATGCCGACCCGAAACCCCGATTCGGAATGGAGGAGGTTACAGAGCGCAAAAGGACGAGGAGCCGAAGGAGCGAGGGATTCGGGCGACAGCCAACATGAATGAAGGAGAACGTCCTGAAAAGAGAGTCGTCATCGTTGCTTGCAGCCCCCTTTTCGCTTTTCGATTTTTGCCATTGTTCTTGCTGTTGCACACGCCTCATGCAGGATTCAACAGCTGGGTGGGGCGGGGGGCGTGGCTGTCGGTCCGAGGACGAAGACGAGTCCTGTTGTCGTCACAATGTCTGTGGCTTTTACGTTTTACGAGCTGGCTATAATATATATTTGCACTGCTAACGCAACGATTTCCGAGCCGAGGTGAAATTGAATTGAAGAGCTCGAGAGCTCCAGTGAATGGAATTTTCCCACGGTGTGGAGAGTTTTGAATGGACGAGATGGCGAGTAAGCCTGTGTATAATCGAAAAAGTTTGCAAGTCGAACGTAAAACTATGGTGAATATATTATAAACAGTTTTAGGTATTTTAATAAAAGCTGAGTCAATTAAAAGAGAATAATTATATATCAGAAAACTGCTCGGAATGAAAAGTTTAGAAAAGGTAATTAATTTTAATAAAAGGTTTTGTGGGAAAATATAAAATTAATTATAAAATATTTTAGTTATATGTTTTTTAATCTATTTTTAAAATAAGACAATTATTCATAAGCAATTTTACAGATTATGATATAAATGGTGAGCCAAATTGTAGATTAACTATTCTTTAGAAAAGCAAGCGGAATAAAAGTTTAAAGAGTATTTCAAAAATGTTTGGACATAGTTTTAATTAGGTTGGTAGTTACCTTTTCAGGATCTCAAAGCCCAGTCTCATCGAGAGCAGTTCTCCACGCGAAAAGCCGGCTTGGAGTCCGGCTCTCAATTTGTTGCTCGGCCCGAAAGTCTCCACCGCGGTTGGGAAATTCTACAGGCAACAGCGAACAGCTGAGCCAGGCCAGGACTGGTGCCCCTCCCCCTTGAACCGCCATTCGGTCCTACCACAAGCCAAATGCACTTGCTGGCCCAGAGGAACAAGGCTGGAGGACAACAACAGATGATTCTGCGAGGCGAGTGCGCAGGCGCGGACTGAAGAGACGACTACGTCAACAACAAAAATCGAAGCCACGGATTTTCATTCAGGAGATAGCCCTGCCCCTCTCTCTCTCTTTCTCGCCGGTCCCCCAACGAAAAAAAAAAGATGGGGAAACCAGAGCGCGAGCCCTCGAGCAGGAAAATGGAAAAGGGAAAATGGGAGAAGGAAAACAAAAGGTGGAGCAGGGGCATTTGGGGAAAATCAGCGCCTGGCTGGCGTCGTTTTTCGTTTTTCGACGATGTCGCCGCCCGAGGAGCCGAAACTGAATCGGCAAGCCATAAAGCCGAGCAGCTCAATGGGGAAAGGGGGTGGAGGGGGGAAGGAGGGGAGGGGGAGGACGATGGGTGCGCCGCACGACGATGACGCCTACGCAGCTTTGTGACGTAAGCAGGCTCGCAGGACCACCGACAAAGGAGCCGAAGCTCCAAGCGAAAGGCGACTGCACGCTGGCCCCATTGTCTTGTGTTCGCTGGTGTGTTCCTTGGACCGCGATTCATTGGCGATTCCGCAGCTGGGCTCGTCGCATGCCCTCCTCGTCGATGGCTCCTCTTGGTCCCTTTTTTTCGGCCCCCATTCGTCCTTTGCACCTTTGCACTTTGAACTTGGCAAATCGAAAGGGTTTTGTCGCTGTGTGGGCCCGGCTTAAATGACAAATCGGAATTATGCACCTTCCACAAAAGGTTAGATTGGCGAACAAAAGATTTTATTTATGTAATGAATTGTACAAAATTGTACAAACAAACAAGCAATTTATTGCAATTTTAAACTATAAAGTTTTAAATAAAGATGAAGATTCGCATTTAAGAAAACATAAAGCTATACATTTTAAAATGTGTTATGTTTTTGTTTACAAACATGTTTTGTACAACATTATTAATTATCTAATTAACTTATACATAATTTCCAATTTTATTTCCCAATTTATCAAAAATAGTAAGGAAATAAGCTTTTGTGCGGTGCTTAAAATTATCAAAATAAAGCAAATTGTAATTTATTTTTTGTGCGATTTTATAATAAAATGATGTAATTATTTATTGAATTATTATGCCAGCACTTTCCCCAGAACCACTCTGCACAGGACCTAGGTAAAATTCAATTAGAGTGTCCTGTTATGCAACAGCCCCCTGTCATTCACCTCGCCTATTTCACAACATCCTGACCCCCTCTGCGATTTATGGTGTGCTTTTAATTGCCCGCAGAGAGCAAGTTCAATTACAACTCCCGCAAGTATGGTGCACTTTGATGGGGAAATCAGGACCCTAATCGGTTGACTGATGGCCGATGACGGAGATCGACTCGAGTGGGAACAAGGCTTAAGACTTAAGTTCAAGTCGCCACTTGCGGATGACAACTCTGGCTTCCGACCTCGAATCCTTGGCTCCTTGGCTCCAGCTTTTCGAGTCCTTGGCTCCTTGGTGCCTCCACCTCCACGCAGACATAGACGACTGGGTTCCCGGCTGTGCTGTTGACATTGAATTCCGTGGGATATGGCCAAAATGCTATAAATAGACAACCAGCCGAGTTGAATTGAGTTTCCTTCGCCGCTCGCCGCTCGCCGCTCGGCGCTCGGCGCTTTTCCTTTTTTTGCGCCGCCTGTCTTTCAGACTTCGTCCACAGCCAAACAGGAAATTGCATGGATTCAACGCTTGGCGCTGCCAAGACGCCATCAAAGCCGTTGATTAAAAATTGAACAGCAAGAGCGACGACGACGCAATAGGAGCAAATAAATAAATATAGACATGGAGATGGCAGAACAGCAGAGTGAAGAACTCAGAACTCAGAACTCAGAATGGACGCCTGGCCAAGGGAAAATCTC